GTCTTTCCAATAATCTTGAGTTTTTTGGTACGTCCACCCCATATGGAAGGCTGACATATCTAGAAACTGCTGGAAGAATAAAATCTGACCTCAAAAATGAGGGAGGAAGATTAAGAAAAATGACAGAATTTGAAATGCTTATACCGAATGAAAACCACCTATTAGGCTGTATATATAAACTTCTATTTAGATATGATACAGAGACAGAACAAATAAAAACATGTATGATAAACTGGATGCAAAACTTCAAAGAAACAGCCCCAATACAAAATGTGAAGAACTACAGAAAAAATCTATAAATTTATCGTTTGAGAAAGAACTAATATAAAATATTTTACAGATGGTATACAACTCCATCATTAAGTGCCAAAATAGACAGATGATATAGCAATAAATGTTGGAAATGCCTTTTTAAAATGGAATTTATGGCAGATACAGAGCCAACATAAGTTCCAAGAATCAGATGTGAATTTCAGAAAGCTGGCCAGAGTAAAACAGCAAGCCTTTGTTTTTTATATAAAAAAGTTCCTCTTGTTGGGCAAGCAGAAAGATAAGAAAGATTTTTGATTGACCAAAAATCAGTCAAAATGGAGCTTGCAGAAAGCAAGCAGTCAAACTTGCTGGGCTTAATTGTTCTTTCAGAGGAAGCCTGCTTTAAGAAGAGTGGGCTAGCATTTGCCACAGGCTACAAACTTAGATTGGCAATCTCCATACTTGATCAGAAAGTTTGGAGACGGAATTGGAGCTTGGTTAAAAGACTTCTGCTTTGCCATGAATATACTCAGTTCTAATCTTGCACTGGCTTCCCATTTGTCCCTGTATTAGACTGACTAAATCAAGTCAATAAACAGGTGTCCAGTTTCATTCACTCAGGAGACCACTGTGAAGCACCAATTTGACTCATGGAGGTAAACACACACATCCTATCGACATGCACTTTTAAGATACGGATGTTAATTCGAAGGTACAATCTTCTGCAATAGAGCAAAGAAACTTTTCAAAAACACACCGTTTCTTTTTCAGAACTTACCGATTCTTCCTTTCTTGTGAATGTGGCCAGGCATGATACCGATTTTACATTCTCCAGGCTAAAAACAAAATAGAACCCCAAAAGTGGATCAGATTTTATTTACATTTCTTTCTAAACCTGTTGCATACGTTGTTAGAAATCACCTAGGCATACTTTCTAGAAATACAAAGGATCTATTTGTAGGAATTCAGCTTGCACAGAACTTCCCATGCATTTGCTATAGAACCTCTGTACTTTCAAACTCACTTTTCACAGACTGTAAGCCCAGCGTAAGGGATGCTTAAAAAAAAAAAAGTTTGCTACCATTAATGTTCTCACTATACAACAGAGAGGTTCCTAAAGCATAGCTTGGGAAATGCTGGTTTATAAATACCCCCACTTCATTGTCTTAACAGTGCTGTGATACAGCCTGAACCAGTGTTTCTCAACCTTGGCAGCTTTGAGATGTGCTGAAAGCTGCCAAGGTTGAGAAACACTGGCCTGGACAAACCTATGAGAATCTCATAGCTAAGTGGGCTTTTGAACAAGTTTCCCCACACATAACCCCAAAACCAGACTATCAGTTGCAGGTGGAAGTGGAATCAGAACACAATGACTCAGGATGATGGCAAAGAGCAGGTTAGAATATTTATTATCCAAAGATTTAGATCACACTTTTTCTCCAGGAGCTCAAGCCAGCTTCCATGGAGCACCCTTCATTTAATCCTCATAGCACAACCCTGTAAGATAGGGTATGTGGGCTGAGTTATCTGAGCCACGGGGAGTCATTTGATTGCAGAAAGGTAGAAATGGGGGGTGGGGAAGAGAGATGAAGTCAGCCTTTAAGTTTCCATTGTTGAGGGTGGACATCGACTCCTACTCCAATACTTTTACTACTTCACTTAAACTGGCATTAGGATATCAATATCATGGTAGAGAAACCTTTAAGGGGGAAAAGTATCTGCAGGCTTCTATGTCCTAAACACAACTATTTAAACTTCCTTGGAACCCTTACATTGATGACTCCTGGGCAATTTGGGCCAACAAGTCGAGTCTTGTTCTGACGAAGCAATCTGTGTTTGACACGCACCATGTCCTGCTGGGGAATACCTTCTGTAATGCACACAACAAGGGAGATTTCTGCGTCAATGGCTTCATTGATTGCAGCAGCAGCGAACGGTGGTGGCACGTATATTGCTGAGGCGGTAGCACCCGTTTTTACTATAGCCTAAGATCCAAATACACTTTTTTAAAATCACTGTTCTCTTGAGGCATTTAGCATGCTGTAAGAATACATCTGTCATTAGAAATTAACATTCTGGTACACCTGGCTTTCTTGATGAGCATTGAAAGCATTCTTTACCAGACCTACCCTCTTCAGGCCTATTGGCCAGATTCAGGCATCAACCCATTGGCAAACAGCTGATCAATAAAGTACATGGTCCACATTTGTTTTATTATTTTTTTAAAATGCAAAAGCAATTCTCCAGCATGCATTAAGTCCAATGGGGCCTTCAAGAAACTGGCTTAACATTTCTGATTTAGCGGTGAAGGAATTCAAAACACCTCTGAGTATAAAAAGAAAATGGAAGTACTGAAATATCACAAGCAGTTCCATGGATCTTGGCCAATGATAATTCATTCCCTTAAGTTACAGCCCTCTTTGAAAACTGGTCTGAACCTCAGCTGCTTCAAAAGCCATCCCTGACTCTCTGCACATACTTTTGCACAGAAAGACAAATGGCTGTGTTTGCACATGTGTGCAAAGAAAGCTGGGGGGGAGCTTTCACAAGCTTTGCAAAAGATGTGGCTGCTTGAACAATTTGATGAGAAAGTCTTCATTCATGTTAATGTACTTTGCGAAGCACTCTTCTGAATGCTTCACACAGCCCTACTAAAATCTAAATCACTAATCCCAAGTTAGGAAAGCATAATTATACAATTAGATACTATGCCCACATTTCTTTCTTGGGACTGGTTCTGCAACAATTTTCACCCTGAGGAATTAACAACTTTCAAGGAACAACACTCCTCGTGCTGTTAGAAAATGTCCTTGGAACATGCCTTTATAACCTTACATTTCAGCTTAATCCACCCACCCACCACTTCCCCATTTTATTCCTACCCTGCCAATAAAAACAAACAAGCAAAAACGTAAAATGCAGGTTATTGTTGTTAACAGAGCATATCAAATATGGAGTATCTTAAAAAAAAAAAAACTCCATGAACAAATTAACAAATGAAGCAGCTGTAAAATCTGAAACACACAGTAAATGAAGCCAAGAAAAAGCAGAATGGAATTTTGCAAAATCTGCTTAAAGATTACAAATGCAGGGAATTCAAAAGATGTGGAGTCACGTCAAAAAGGTCCTGCTGTTCTTGTTCCCCACCAATCAGATGGTTCATGGGGACCAGAGAGAGAGCAAGACCTCAGAAATTTAAGTTAGGGCCTAGGCAGGTACAAGCAGTCCTTCCAAGAATCTGTTCCCAAAGGATACAGGACTTTAAAGGCCAAAATCGGCATTTTAACTTCAGCCCCCAAATGCACAGGCAACCAATATAGCTGAACAGTGTTGGTATAATGGGGTCAAACACCTGATCGTTCTGTCTCATCAAAGTTTGCAGCTACTTTTCGAAGCAGCCTTATAAAAACAGTATGACAATGAAATGAAAGACGTAACAGCACTCGGCATGTGGGTCAGTGATCTTACCTCCTGGACGGAGTTAAAAACGGGAAGCCCCAAGTGAGTTTTGCCCCCTTTGCCTGGCGAAATTCCTCCTACTAAATTGGTGCCATATTCCAAGGCTTGCTGACTATGAAAGGTGCCCTGCAGGAAGGTACAATCGAGAAAGCACAATGAATTTAACTGGGGGGGGGGGGGGGGGGGGGAGGGGGGGAGAGAGCAGGCAAGTAATGAGAACATTTGTCCTGCCCAGGGTTAGAGATGAACAAGTGTTCTGAGACAGCCAGGCCGTTCTAAGGGGGGCGGGATGTGCTGCAATTGCAAAAAGAAAGGGAAGATATGCAGCCATGTAACCCAAATTTCTGGTTTAAAATGGTATAGTCCAAACAGGTCTATAAGATGCAATTATTTTTATGAAGGCAAACATTTAAATAGGCAAATTGCCCTAAACCAAGATCAATCTTGCCGTTTTCTTTATAACAGAAAAAGTCTTGAACAAAAGGCTTGTCAGATCCACATATTGACTAGGTACATCGTCTACCACCCCCTAGAACTAAAGCGTAAGTTCATATCCATGAAGGACCAGCTTTTTATATATTTAGCGTGGCATGAGAGGCTATAAGCTTTATTTATTTTATTCAATTTATATAGCTGCCCAGAGTCACTGGTCTGAGATGTGTGGCTATATAAATTGAATGAATGAATGAATAAATAAATAAATTTTTAAAAAGACAAGATAATAAGCAAATTACATGCTGAAAATAAGAAAAAATCTGCCCTTACTTTGCCCCGCTGATGACTTCTAAATCAGAACGGCTGAACCCCTTCAATAATTCTTAGTCTGATTAACTAGTTGACTGTATCATTTACTTAAACTGCAGATTACTGAAAACTCAGCAAAAGGTGGCTTTACAATTAAAACCATTAACAAACAAGAAGCTGCATGTTTCCAGAGGGGAAACAGTGCTATTTAGGTGCAGCAAAAACAAAAAGAAAAGAAGTCTTGTGGCATCCAGAAGACCTACAAATTTATTGCGCCACAAGCGCAGAAGCACAGCATTTCCTTTTATAGCTTCATATTACTGAAATAGCCTCAGAAGAAGTGGAAAATGCTTTTTACTCTCAGCTGTTCAGATTAGAAAAAAAAAAAACTTCCTCTTCTTCATTAGCACAAATTAATCAAAGCTTTAGGTTAACGGGTTGCCTCTTCAACCAGTCTGCTGCAATGGGAGGAAGAGGCAGAAGGACAAAAGCTAAGGAAGGGAACTTATGGTCATAATGTAGCATGAAGGAATCATCTCCAACATAGGTATAGCCCTTGAAAGGAGAAAGAAAAAGCTTCTCCAACTTCAATTAAAACTCTAATTACTTAGAAGAATCCACTACACCTCCTAACTAGTTGGATATAAAATACAAAGACAGCTTCTGTATTCTGCAAGATAGACTGGAGATCTTAACTTGCATAGTATGAACATGCTTGAGTAATGTGCACCTGTTGCATACCAACCAAAAGGTACCAGAACTGACTCATACTTGCCTTACTACTGGCACAGGTTGCTACATATGGCATGGGTACAACTAAGGCTGGTAACCTTGTTTATAATATTTCTATATTACTAAAAACTCCTATGTAAAAGCCTCAGTGGACGAAAGCCTGATAGGTGGAAGAAATCTATATGCCATTTATCCAGGTGCCCATCTGGTGGCATTGGAACACCGTGACTTGGAATGTACAAGGATTACAGGGTAAAGAGCATGAATTAACATCTGAAATGAATGAAAGAAAAATCAATATGCTGTGCGTCTGTGAAACTAAGAGAAAGGGGAAGGCCCTGAATAAAGTTGATTTGATCTTGTGGAGTTAATGTATACATGCAGAGAAGTGAAAGCGTAGGATTAATTATGAATGAAATATTAATTATGAATGAAAACATAAACTGTATGCTGGAAAGTATAAACTGGTGTGTATGTGTGTACTTATGATGTATTAAGCATCTGTCGGATATATCAGGAGGTAATCAGTGGCGCGTTGGAGCCGGTTCATACTGGCTCACAAGAGCTGACTGTTAAATTTTTTTTGGAATTTTGCAAGCTGGTTGAGCGCAGAGCTGAACCACGACACCTAGCGCGCCCATCAGTATTTGGCAGTGCGCAGCAGTGCCAGTGGAGCCAGCAGAGCTGGTTGTTATACATTTATCAGCACACCATTGATGCTAAAACAGTGAGTAGCATGGTTTCCAGAAGCACAAGGGCCTGTTCTGAGAATTCAAAACACTCCCAAGAAAGATAGGAGAATTTCGGAACCCTTCTGGTACGTTCAGAAGAACCAATTCCAGCCAAAATGGGACATTTCAGAGTTAGGACATTCTGACTCAAAACATTATGCACACTTCTCCTTCAGTGAAGCTGCTGCAAAGTTTGAAATGATTCACTATCCCAAATTTTGTTTTCTGTTATAAACAGAATATAAACTGTTTCTGGAAAAAAGAGAACCAATATATTAGGAGTATTTTTCTGTATGAAGATTGAGTATTGTTCTGTACACTAGGAAACTTCTTTATAACTACACAATGTGAATAAAAACTTGTGGGATGATGTAGTAGCTAGTTCTGATATCTGCAATAAGGAAGCCCTGATAAGGAATCCCAAGCTTCTCACAAACATAGAGCAAAAACTACCATACTACAACATAAGCAAAGGTACAAGACATTGGCCATTCAAGCACACACCTGTTTGCCAGTGAAACCTTGACAAATAACCTTTGTATCTTTAGTGATGTACATATTTTTCCGTGTGGCTGAGTAGGAACACTGCCGTACCCCATTCTTCTGCACTAAAAATTAAAAAAAAAAAAGGAAAAAAGATAAATGAGAAATTATTCATTTTTAGGGTATCTGCAAAATTTCAGCAGCTCAGGATGTATCATACTTCTTCCTTGAAAATTATAGGAAAGATGCCATGTTAATTTATTTTTTTTTAAATACATTGGAACAAATACATAGAAAAAGCTGGAAGCTGAGTGACTGCTGATTCGATCAGAGCAGTACCAGAAACTGCATATTAGAAAAGGCAGTGAAGGGAATCTCTACATTGTACCCATGCTATAAAACTCATATGCAAAAAAATTGAAGTACAAAATCAACGCTGATTCTCTGAAATTTTAATCCATAAAAACAGCAGTCCACAATTTCACCAGTCTGAGCAAGGGTCCAGTTCTATGATACTGAAGTGCTTGGAGTACCTCAGAAACCTCAGATCAAACCCCAGCCTTAAACTTGGAGCTATGGAAGAGGGGATATGTGTCGGTAGACACTTGGTACACAACTGCATTACCCCCTCAAGTTCTTAATAGCGCTTATTATCTCAGCACACTGCAATTAAATCCATTTTAATTTCAACCTAGAAAACAGAGCTTGCACTTGGAACTGCAGCATGATTTTAAGTGACTTACTACTCATGTATGATGGAGATAAGGAAGGGAGCCAGGTTCTATAATGCTGGGCTACAATATGAGATCAGGAACTGGATTCCACCATGTTTTACAAGGTTTGCCACTCTGCACACATAAGCACAAATGGGGGAGAGAAGGCTGGACTGGGGAATGGGGCCACAAGACAATTGGTTACCAAGGACTGATCAGGCATGTATGGAACAGTCAAACCAGGTAGCACATATGTTTGGACATTTAATGGCACTTCTTAAAACTCCAGAAAAAGAGAAAGTGCAGCATTTGGAAGTTGTGGCTCAGTACAATTGGAAGAACTCAGGTTAAAAAAAGGCTGGTTAAAAGTCTTCACTGCTTCTCCAGCCAAATATGAATTACATCAATGATACAGAAGCAGCCAACATTCCAGTAAGGAATGTTAAGAAAGAGCGAAACCCTGTACTGGGTGTCATCCAATTCTTGTTTTATTGTTTCAGTGCCAGTATAGTAGTGTGTTCAGTTAACTCTTCTTTAAAAAATTATGGAACGATCAGGACTCATACCTTTCCCCCATTTAGTATTTAGCTAGGCACCGAACTTCACACTGTCAGTACGTTTTTATTTTGCTGTTTAATAAAGAGAAGGAATACATGTCAACAGCACTAAGAGATAAATTATCAAATGTAACTGTGAGATGCTTATACAGAGATTGGGGATTGTACGTGCAGTTTACAAGTACAAACTGACAAACAGAACCCAGGACTTGAACACTGAAGGAGTCAGGAAGAAAGCACTGTTTTGCACACATACACTCAAGCTAAACTTTCCAAGCAGAATTATCTTACAACACATTGTTACCTTTATCAAGCATCCAGCCCCTTCTGCAAACAAAACACTCTTTTTTAATGATACTACACACACTGCTTGTCCATAGCAGTCCATAGTGGAGATACCAACTCAACACAATTCTAGTCATGAACTTATCCATTTCCTGTTCTCTGCAGATAACATTCAGGATACAACATAGCTGCCAGTATTCAAACAAAAATCCTGTTTTTGCTTTTCTTTCCAAAAAAGCAGCTTTGCAGAGTTTCTAAGGATCCATGATATAAAAACCAAAAGACCACTTCAGAACATTGTGAAGGGTTAGACACCATTCTCCTCCACTCCCGAAATCTAGAAAAAATACAGCAGCCATATGATCATGTATAAGAATCAATTCCATGTAACAGAAGCAACAATTATAGGTATGACAATTCTACTTTCCAGCAATATAGTCAGGACCATTCTTTTTGCAGCCAGGGGAACACTTTTAATTGTTAAAGACGTCCCAACCACTCCCCCCAATCAACCACAACAAATAGTATATATATCCCCGCTCTACTCTAGGATTGTTTTAAGGATCACAGAGTGGGGGGGGGAGGGGGGGGCATACAGCCTGCAGGCCAAGGCTAGCTCAGCTTTGCAGTACCTTGTGGTTTAGCAACAGGAGGAGCCCTTCCAAAAAAGAAAAAAAAAGCTAGAACTGCTCTTACAATCTTTCCCAGTAGAAATGGAAGGTCATTATGGCTTACAACAAACAGTGATAAGGAACATTTCAGCTGTTAGGTTTCCACCTGGAAACTGCTATTAAAGGCAAGCATCCAAGCTGAGAAAAGGGACACCAACCTGCATTGCAGGAAGCAAGCACAAGGTGAGTCTACCCATACTAGGAGAGAAATACGTGAGAAAAGGTAAGAGATGTCAATCTCTATGCCGACGCAAGCTCTCGTCCTCCAAGGGGACAGTTTAAAAGCCAGTGAACCCAACAAGGGTGCAGCATTATGGTCCTACCCCATGAAAGCGAACACCCAAGAACAGCTGGAGCACAAGGCCAGGAGCGATTCTCTTGCACGAGAATAAGACCGTGACAAGCATTCGTCGAGGCCCCAGCACGGCCCAGGGAATTCAGGGCAGGGGGTTTTATCTGCTTTATCTCACTCAGGGCTTTCGGCCACCCCACGGGAGGCTCCCGCTCCTGGCCGGGACACCTGAGCCCAAAGGCAGCCCTCTCTCCCCTTGGGCGCAGGGCACGATGGGAAGTTTGAGCAGATGGTCACGGAGGGAGGGAAGGAGGCCGTGCCGGCTGGGGATAATGGAGGATGCAGTTCAGGACGCCTGAAGGAAAAGGCCAGGCTGGCGGGGAAAGACGTCCCAGTCTAACAGGAGGAAAAGGCCATGCCTCCTGGGGAGGATGGGAGATGTCGCCCAACGCAGCCGGAACGACCAGGATGCCGCTGGCCGGGGATGATGGGGGAGGGAGTCCAACAGGTTCGGAAAGGCTAGGCCACGCCGGCAGAGTGGGGCGGGAGGTGTCGCCCGAGAGGCGCTTGGCACACAACAGGCATGGGGATGATGGAGCTTGTAGTCCCCGACACAAAAAGAACCCGCCCGCCCCGAGGCGCCACGTCGGGAGGGCCAGTCCAGGCAAAGCAGCGAAGGAACGCGGAGCCCCCTCACCGCGCACCGTCACGTGACCACGCCGGAAGGGGAGGGTGCCCCCCTCGGCCCGTCCCCCACTTACGGAGCAGAAGAAGGCGGCCGAGGCCTCGGGCGCCGCTCCCGCAGCAAGACATCGCCGCCGTCCCTCCGGTGCCTCCACCCCGGCTGCCAATGACAAGGGGGCCGGCCCGGGGTAGCGCTAGGCCCGCCTCTTCCGGTCTCCAGGCCCCCACCGCGGCGCGCATGCGTCGGAGGGCGCGGCCGGGTGCCCTTTGCGCCTGACGGGGCGGCCTACCAGCCCCCCGCCGCCCCCTACAGAACAACGGGGGTACTTCGGTGCGTTCCCGAAGAAGCCGCTTCTTGTCCGGCTTGGGAGCCCAACCAGTCAGGCGCTTAGGCGTCTAATCCCAAGGAAGAGGCCCCTCTTGCCGCGAGGGATTATGGGGGAGGTAGTTCAAGCAACGAAGCACCTGAGTCCCGTTGTTTGAAACGGCGATTAGCAGCCAGTTGAGGCTGCGGCGCGCAGCGTGTAGTGCAAGCTTTAATTGATAGCGTGGTCGTGCAAGCCCCAACATTTGCTGTAGCAGCGTCAAGCTGACATCAGGGAAAAACCATGATTTATATGGGGCTAATACAGCTCGTCTAAACCATCATTTATGGTTTGCCCCATTGCACAAAGGCAAACCGTGGCAGAGCACGATAGGAACTGGATCTCTTAAGTCAGGAGAAAACCCTACAAAACTCTATAGACCATCTGTCTCAAAAAATGAGCCAGAAAATGTCCTGAAACACTTTAAAACACGTTTCCTGGAATTGTGTGGGGTCAATCCTTGGAAAATACATGGCTTATTAAATGCCCTGTAATCCATCAATCAAGGATTTGTATTAAATATATTTAGGCTGACCACACTGTGCCTTCCTTGAATTGGAAGTAATATTTAGAGCAGTGTTTCTTGACCTTGGCAACTTGAAGATGTGTGGACTTCAACTCCCAGAATTCCACGCCACGACACTAGGCGTCGGCGTACGGTAGGTACGTACG